TCTATTTTTATTTCCACTTTAACATCTGCTTTTGCTGTATCTATGTCTGAAGCACTGGTGATAACTTCCAAATGTGGCATTTAGATTAATCCTGCTTCTAATAAACATACCGAAAGGTAGAGAGCTCTGTGCATGTGAGAGTGCATAAGAGTAATTGCGCTGGTAAATGGGGAACACTGTAGTTAAGATTACAAATGGACTTCAATCACAAAGCAAGTGAAACAGGGTTTGTAACTTTCTCAGAAATTCTCCTTTTGGGCTGTCATTTTCTATGTTCCTTCTCAGCCCAAAAGTGAGTTGTTGCTTTTTAATGTTTGCTCAAAAACTAATACATTTTGCTCAGAATACGGCAGAAAAGTTCTTTTCTGCTTTAAAATCAATTTGACACTGTTTTGCTCAAAGATACGTCAAAATGAGATGAACTTTGAAATTGAAGTTTTCCATGTGACTAGTAATCACTGATCAAGTTTCTTGCTGAAAGACATTTGTTTTCTGAGTGTAGAGTTATGTTATTTAGATGGCTACAGAGGACTATATACTTTGACTACTACTTGGATAAGTAACTTGCAATACTCTTGTGCAACAATTTCTCCTACAGAATTTCTTAGTTGCCAAGTTTCTGAATCTTTCATATTTATTCAACTGTGAATGTACACTATGATATCGGTGTAGAAATGAGTATTGTAGACTTTTTCCTTTCTTTTGGTTTTCTTTTAAGAACATAAGAAAAAATGCTGTCCTGGGATGCGCACTCTATGCTCCCATTGACTTCAGTGGGAATGTTGGCTCAGATAAATTAAATGCAAAAGCTCATGTAATACAGCAGTAAACTGTTGCATTTGAAATTTAAACAACCATCAGGAAATATTACTATGAGGACCATATTTCAACTTGATGATATTGCATATCCTGTTAATTTTGTTTTTAAAAAACTTAACACAAATAGTATTATTACATAGGAAAAAACGCATATTGAAAGAATGTTTGTTACATAGTCAAGCATTTGAAAGTTAGGAAATGCCAGGGTTAAGGTTACACTTACAATCTTAATTCTTTCCCCTTGTGTATTTGCACTGATAGGATAGATCATGTACTTAAAGACTATGTATTTTCCACCAATCCCCTGCCTCATTCAGGTCACCGGCCGAACAGTGTTCTGGGAATGAGACAGCTGTTCAATATTTTTATCCTTGTCATTCAGTGTATGGCATCTGCCATAATTACTGCACACTATCCAAAACCTGCAGTGAATACATAAGTATTAATTCCTTATAGTCTTTTTTAGGGTGCTCATCATTGTAGTTTTTAAGTGCCTCATAAATATTAATGAATTTATTTACGCAATTCCTCTGAAGTAAGAGAGCATTATTAACAGCATTTTACAGATGGGGAAAATTGATACGGAGATTTGTGGAGGTCACACTGAATCAGGCAGAGATAGGATTAGAACTTGTGAGCCCCCTAATTCACAACATTTTTCTCATTCCTATAGACCACTCTTCCTACTGGCAGAGATGCAGAGTGGCCACCATAGCTTCAATTTAACTTCAGTTGCAGCTTAGTGCTCTGCACTTGTGCAAATCTGGCCCCAGGAATCTCAAGTTGGGCACACAGAAAATGAGGAATGCACAGTAGGGGCCACCTGCCAACATTTTGGTTTGTGACTTGCTCCTGATCATACAGAAAGTCTTTGGCATAGACAGGGATAGAGTTGAGTTCTCACATGTGACGTTCACCGGCCTTAACTGCAAGACCGTTTTTTCTCTTCTGCAGTCCCCTGTCTTTTTTCTCTATACACCTAACAACTTCTACAGAGAACAGCCTCATTCACTGTACAATCCTAGTTCATTCTCTGAATGCTCTCCATCCTGTGGAATGAATGAGGTGGGGTCCTGTGGGGGGGAAAAATTTACTCAAGTAATTAAAGACTGTGTCGTAATGCATACCAATAAGGATGCAGAATTAAGGTTTCACAGCCAACATAAATTCTGGAATTTTTTTGACTTTCAAGTATTAGACTTTGTAACTAAATAAGGTTTTAATGTAGTGTGAGTGGGTTAAATATGGAAAAATGTAAATAAATAAATATATATATTTTTACAACTGTAACAGCCCCCTCCCATCATGCACCATCAGTAGAGTTAGCTGGAAGCAGAAGAAGGTTGTCCCAGCATGGGTAGGGGGGAATGGGCTGCTGGAGCCATGTGCTAAATTTGGGCTGTTGTTGGAGGAATCACACCCCTCCCCCCCAGCTCTCTGTCTGCTCCCCTTCTGGGGTGTGAGGGAACTCCTTCCCCATGTGATGCCCTTAGAGGAGGAGGAGGCGTCGGCATGTGCTGGCTCTGGGGGGGATTACTGTGTGGAGCCTGATGTGGCTTTCTCTTTCCCCTCCACTCTTAGGGTATGCCTAGACTGCAATAAAACACTCTTAGCTGGTCCAGGTCAGCTGACTCAGGTTCAATCTGTTGGGCTATAAAATCGCAGTGTGGATTTTCAAGCTCAGGCTGGAGCCTGGGCTCTCGGACCTTCCCCTCTTGAGGGGTCCCAGAGCCCAGGCTCCAGCCAAAATTTGAACATCTGCACCACAATTTTGTAGCCCCATGAGCCCGAGTCAGCTGATCCAGGACAGCTGGGGTGTTTTATTGTGGTGTAGACATACCCTTTGAAAGGCTGTCTGCACCTGGGGATCACAATGCAGTGTAGTGGTGTTTAGTGGTGGCACAGGCCTGACCTTACATTAAAATGTTTATATTCAGTATTACTTGACTTTCTACCAACATTTTACTGACAAGGTAAGTCGCTGAATGGAAATAGTGATTTTCAAAAGTTTCTATCACAGCTAGTATTTCCCTGGACATAGAAAAGGCACTTCCCTGGCCTGTGGGCTTTCTTCCTGTCAAAATCCATAAGCCTGCATCAAATGATAGAAGTTTTTAGACCTTCTCAAAAAAAGGTTGCCAGAATTTTTAATGTGGAAAGTGCTAAGCAACCTAGATGTTGGAGTTGCTGCCAGAAACACAAATGTATGTAAGCATGATCAGGTTAAGGTTACTGTGAGGCCTGGTAACTTTCATTACCTGACTTGAAGGTCAGTCATGTAAACACACTCTAATGTAACTTCTTTTCTTAAAATTTTCCTGAGGCTTAGGAGGACAAAGGGGAAGGAGAAGCAAAGGGGAAAATAGCTCGATCCTTGTTTTCATGGTTTGATCTCACTTGAACCCCTTGCTGGAATTATGACCCAATAATTCATACATGTTTGTTACTCCAGATGCAATTTCTGAAAAATGTACGTACCTGATAGGTTTGCACCTTTTCTCAGCAATGAAAAGAAAATAAACTTTACTGCTGTGTACCCTTCTTTAATATATCTTATTTATAATATTATTTACTCTTCAAAATATATTAACTTTTTTCGTAGACATGTCGCTTGTTGAGGCATGTTTCTGGAACAGAGCCACTTGAAATTACTTGCATACATGCAGAAGACACCTTTCAGGTCACTGGCCCACAGGTATGCCTACCTTTCATTTGATCACATTTTAAGTAGAATTTTGTAAAATGGCTATACACTAAGATAAACATTCATCATATGTTCTTGGAGGCATGCCAGTTCAGTTCCCAAAGAAACATAATGAAAATATTACAAGTAGGAGGCAGTGTAAATATTTCTAGACAGGTGTCCAAGCTAGATCTTCTGGTACATCTTGATTTGTGCTCTAGACATTTTGGAAGACTGGGCAAAGCTGGCATAAAGCTCCTACAAACCCTGTGTGCTTTCCCAGCATGTGCTGTAGCTTTGGGTCTGCTTTAAGTTATGCTGGCTTATACCAGCCACTTGGGGCTGAATATTAGCCCAGGACAGATGTAGAATAGGGGTATCCTCACCATGACCTCCTTTTCAGTGACTATGCACCCCTCTTCCCACCATGCCAGCAGCAAGGAGATTGTGTGGTCTGAGCCCCTGTGCCACTGCAGGATCACTAGGGTTATCCACCATGGGCCATTCGCTTGAGTGTTGTGGCCAAAGTATGCTAGCAGTGCATTGCAAAGTGGCCACAACCCACCCAAAGAGCTGACCAGTCAGTCTCTTATTTATGTAGGGCAATTTTCACCTCCGTGCAGAGGACCAATATAAAGCTTATGAATCATTTAATTCCTGTTTTGAAAGTTTAAATAGGACTTCATTGGTACATAGGCCTTCACTGTCCCTTTGTACAGGGATGAATTTCACCCACTAAAAGCTTACACCTCCGTGCTTACCCAAGTATAAAATTATGCCACTACTACACATGTAAACACAGCCCACCAGCTTTTTCAGGGGTTTAACAATATTGTGCCTAATAATAGTAATTAGTATTTACATAGTGCTTTATATTTAAAATGTATTTTACAAACACTGACTAATCATTTGAAAGTACCTATGGATAAATTTTCTTTGCAGTTGTCACACAAGTATATGCACAGGTAACTATATATTTTTTTGTAGAACAATACTGCATCAAATACTGCATCCTTACCTATGTACAGCAATACTGTACCTAATATTTCATTCACTGTTTGTTTATCTATATGTCTGCCTGCAGATACCCCTGTAAAACACAAATAGCTTCTTTTAAAGTGCTAAGTATTTATTATTAGTCATTAATTATATTAGACACACAAGGTGGGTAAGGTAATATCTCTTATTGGGCCAACTTCTGTCAGTGAGAGAGAGAAACTTTCAAGCTTATGTGTTAACTACTTATGCTAAACAGACTGTTCTTCGAGTAGATGCAGCTGTGTATTCAACTTAGGTATGTGCACATGTAGCACACCAAAGCCAGAGAATTTTGCCTAGCAGTACCCGTAGAGGGGCAGCACTCACACCTTGTGGCCATAGCCCCTCCCCTGGCTACATGATGCTGCGTTGCCCTGACCCCCCTTGCCCTGGCTGGAGTCGGCGCTCTGAGTAGTTCCTAAACTCACTATTTTTTAGTGACTTTTCTAGTTGTATATAGCTAATTAGTACTATTAGTATAGTGTTAGTTAGTTTAGTTTAATTATTTCCCTGGTGACACCCTCACCAGGGTTTAAACAGTGTCTGCTGTGTGGGGTAGTGATCCCCAACAACAATCCCCACACATGGTGTTTGCTGTGCCTAGGCGAAGCCCACATCAAGGAGCGGTGTTCGATTTGCAAATCATTCACAATACTGGGTGAGGGATCTTTTGTCAAAAGCAACACCTGCTTGAACAGGCCATTCAGCCTGCTTCAGCACTGCTGCCTAAGTTGGATCAGAGGTCGTTCTCGGGTTCTGATACTGCTGCTGTTTTGTGTTCTGAAGAAAGAGAGGAGTTATTCCTCATTGAGTGTGCTCATGAGAAGGTTGCATACGATGGATCCAGGTCGCTCCAGGTTTCATGGGGACTTGTCTGCCTCCTCCAGAAGGAGCACGTACTGGCACCATGTGAATACTGGGGTAAGGGATGGAGCAGGTCTTGTCAACTGCTTCCTGGTACCACACAAGGAGGTCTTGCAGTGATGGAAGCTTCCAGAGAATGTTTATCAGGGTGTTCTCTTCGTCTGGCCCTTTTCAACCAGGTCTATTGTCACCGACCCCTCCCTGATGGGCTAGGGAGCACATCAGGTCACTGAAAGTTCAGAGTCTGGTCAAAGCAGGAGTTCTCACTGCACATCAATGTGCTGGAGCTTTGGGCCATCTGCAATGCATCACCTACTTTTCTGTACTGTATCCAGGACTCATGGTTCACATACTTACACACAATACCACTAGGATGTATCATGTGAACAGGCAAGGGGGAGCACACTCCAGGATGCTCTGCCAGTAGGCGATCAGATTGTGGTAGTTCTCCATCAAGGAGAGCATCACTCAGCAAGAATTTTTCCCTGAGCCACATGTAGTCTCTGAAAACAATCATTCTCTGGGTCATCTTCGCAGCTTGGGGAATTCCGTTGATCAGCCTGGTTGCCACAAGGGACAACAGGAAATGTCATCTGTTCTGCTCTTGATGGGGGCCTCGGTCCAAACTCCCTGTCTGACACTTTCTACCTGCGCTTGCTGTCAGTTCTTCTTTATGCTTTTCTCCCGATCATTCCACAGGTCATCCTCAAGCTGACGGTGGATCAGGCCAATCTCATTCTCATTGTCCTGGCATGGCCAAGGTAGTCTTTGTTGTACAACCTTCTTGAGCTGTTAATTCAGTCTCCCATAACCCTTCCTCTCCATCCTGAGCTACTCACCCAGGGTCATGGTTGCACCGTATATGCTGTGCTCAGATCCCTGTATCTCCTGACATGGTTGGCTTCGTGGCTAAACGAGGAGAAAATGCAGTGTTCGGAGGCTGTTCAACGAGTCCTGTTCAACAGTACAAAGTCTTCTACCAGAATGGCCTGTTCAATTAAATGGAAGCAGTTTTCGGTGTGGTTGTTGGCCCATGGAGTTCAACTGACATTGGTTTCTATTGAGTACATCTTGGAGTACCTCTGTATCTTCAGTTGCTGGGCCTTGCACATAGCTCATTGAGAGTGTATCTGGCAGCAATAGCAGTGTTTCATCCCCCCATTCTGGGAAGATCAGTCTTCTCCAATGCCATAGTAGCAGGATTCTTAAAAGAGCTTCTTCATCTCCATCCTCAGATCTGGGAGCCGGTTCCTCTGTGGGACCTTAACATGGTCCAAGTGGCTTTAATAGGACCTCTATTCAAGCCCCTGGCATCTTGTCCCTTTCCATTTTTGTGTCAGAAAACTGCGTTCCTGGTAGCCTGAGCTGTCCTGGGTTACAATGAATTGGGGTGACTGCCCCGCGCTTTAGTGAGGAGGTGGGCAGGGAGGGGAGGTGGGTAGGCAGGGGGTGGCGAGGAGGAGCCCCCTACCAACTTCCCTCTACCCCCAGCACCTCCTGCCCACCAGCGGCCCCGCCAATCAGTGCCTCCCCCGCCCTCCCAGGACCTACTGCCAATCAGCTGTTTCGCAGTGTCAGGAGGCGCTTGGGGGTAGGGGAGAGGAGCAAGGACACAGCGCGTTTGGGGGTGTGAGCAGAATTGGGTGGAGAAGAGGCAGGATGGGGGCGGGGAAGGGGCGGGGCAGACTGGGGGTGGGAAGAGGTGGGGTGGGGGCGGGGCCTGGGCGGAGCCAGGGGGAGCACCCCCTGGCAGATAGGAACCTCTATCCTGGGCCCTGTAGCCCCCTAGAGACAGCCCTGCTGTTTGCAATAACATCCAGAAGGAGAATCTGTGAGTTGCAGACTCTGATGGTAGAGCCTCCTTATACACAGTTCACCAAGGACAAAGTGACTTTACGACCACATCCGAAATTTTTGTCTGAAATGGTTTCTCAGTTGCATTTGAAGCAGGAGGTATATTTACCTGTGTTCTTTCCTAAGAAAGAACACATTCTTTCTCCAGAAGAAAGCATTCATCTCCAGAAGAGCAGCATCTCTATATGTTAGATGGCAGGCGATGTCTAGCCTTCTACCTGGACAGGACTAAACCATTTCATGCTTCGCCTTGTCTCTTTGTGTCATATGCAGATCGTATGAAAGGGAAAGCAGTCTCTTCACAGACTATCTCTAGATGGATAACATCTTGTATCAAGACTGCAGATGAAATAGCTTTGGCTGTGCCTCCTCAGTAGTTGTGAGCTTGTTCAATGAGAGTGCAAGGGATCTCAATAGCATTCCTCAGTGACATCTGAGTATTGGACATTTGCAGGGCTGCTATGTGGTCATCCATCCATACATTTACGCACCATTATGCCATTATTGCATCTTCCAGAGTGGATGAAAGTTTTGGTAGGGTGGTCCTGCAATCCTTATTTAAGTAGACTTTGAGCCCTGCCTCCAGGGATGGGTGCTGCTTGTGAGTCACCTAAGTGGAATACACGGCTGCCTGTATATGAAGAAGAAGTGGCTACTAGCTGTAATTGTGGTTCTTCGAGACGTGATGCAGGCGTGTATTCCACGACTCTTCCTCCATCCCCTCTGAATTTGAATTTTAATCTCTGGGCATTCAGTGCAAAGTAACTAAGGAGGGTTGGGGTGGTGCTGCCTCATATAGCCAGAGGAGGGGCTAAGGCCATGAGGCGAAAGTGCCGCAACTCTACGGGTACTACTATGCAAAATTCTCTGGCTCCAGCATGCTGGGCGCACACACACATAAGTGGAATACAAGTCTGCATCGCATCTTGAAGAAACATAGTTAAAGGAAGTAACCATTTTTTCCACCTTGTATTTAGTTGTGTCACTTTTCCCAGACCTGAAGAAGAGCTCTGTGTAATCTCGAAAGCGTGTCTCTTTCAACAACAGAAATTGGTCCAATAAAAGATATATTACCTCACCTATGAAATACTTATATTCTTTTACTTCTCTTTCCTGTTGTCTAATATGCTAGAACTCTTTGTCCATGCTGATTTTAAAAAACTGTGTATTCACAAATACATTTAATACCAGAATGTTCCAGCCAAAGGCCTTAGAAATGTAACCGGTCTTTGCTCAACAGATGTAATATTAACCCTTTCTTAATGTTGACATTGGTTCTTGTTTCGTGTGTGGAGGCATTTGCAAATTAGCCTGTAACATTACATGAGAAGATGGGTTTTTTAACATTTGTTGCTCTATTATTGCATTTTTTTTCCAGATAATTTCTGCTGCAGAAACACTGACATTACATCCATCTAGTAAGATTGCAAAAGAAAATCTTGATGTGTTCTGTGAGGCTTGGGAGTCCCAGCTGAGTGACATGTCCATGTTGTTAAGAGAAATCAATGATGTGTTTGAGGGAAGACGAGGTAAGAGTGCTGTTCATCATAACAAGTGCAGCATTCCAAGTATTTTACCTGTTCTGTTAAGCTGCAGTCTAGCAAATATGCTGTTTTTTGCAGATGGATACAAAATAAACACTCCTTTTTTTAATGACAACTTGGTATCTAGGTAATATTACATCAATTCAGTATATTAGTTTTATAGAAACAATGGATTGGAGTATAATTATCAGATCTGCTACATAAAATACAGAACACTTGATTTTAAAAACCTAAGGTTAAGACCTAGATCCTGTAAAAACATATACATGTGCTTAACTTCATGCACCACGTATAGTCCCACAGAAATCAAATGGAACTGCTCACAGTACATAAAGTTAAACACATGTTGTAAACCTTTGCAGGAATGGAGCCTAAAGGCTGAAGGAGTTGTATGGTTTTCATATCCATCTATTGTCATGACCTAATATGTCACTGAGTGATACCAATCAAAATTCTCACAAATTGTAAACAGAAAGTAAATTGAATTGTATGACAAGTGTAGTTTCATCATAGGGATTTCTATGATTAGTATTAGCATTTCAGTTTTATTTTTGAAGTGTAGTCTTTGAGTTTTCAAACTTTTTCCCTTCTGCTAGGCTTTTCATTGTCCAGTATTCCTGGAAAATAAATATTTATTTTAATTCTGTACTATCAGATTGAATTTTTATTCACTTCATAATGTAGTGAATGTAGCTATTTGATTTTTGAACTGCTGTCCTTTCTCCTGGATGGAATCTCTGACGACTCCACACAATCTTGGGATGTTTTCTCTGGTTGGTAAGTTAACTGGTATTTGTACAACATGTAGAATACAACTATGGAACTTTGAAGAACAAATCTGTGTTTACTCTCATTTTAGTGTCACCTATATATGGTATTCTTTTTTGAAAATTTAAGAAAATATCCTGGTGTTTCTTTTTATGTACTTTAAATTTTCTTCAAAAAGTTTGTCTTCAGTGCAGCTTGGCATATCACCTTTGTGCAGTTAAATGTTTGTCATTCTTCGGGTTAATATAGAGGTTCAATGTAACATGCCATATATTTAGGCTTGGCAGAATTATGTTTATTTTTTAAAATAATTTTACTGGATAATGTTGCTGTTTATTTTTAAGCACTTTTTAAAAAAAAATGCTATAGATTTAAATGTTCACAGTTGCAGGAAATTATTGTGGGGAGGAGGTCAGACAATAATTATTTAATGATAGGAGACATTGAGATTCAAAAAGTTAAAGCTTCAGAAGTGTTAAAACACAAATTGTCACATCACATGCCAGAATATACAAAGTAAATATCCATAAGTCAAACTCTAGCAAGTTCTCTAGCACCATTTTCTTGTATTTTTCTAACTTCGCCTAGCTGTAAATTTCAGTCATCATCCATGGAAATACGTTGTGTATGTGTGTGTGTATGGTGAAATCTACATTTACTGATAAAAATGTAATCCTTCCAAGCCTAAATATGTTGAATCTGTTTTGTGTTTTAAGAAAAATTACTCAGGAAAATGCAATGATTTGGTTAAAAATTAGACAAACAGGGATTTAACACAAATTTTTCCTATCTAAGCTATCACTGTATGTTCTGAATCAGGGTAGACAGATTGTCATTACATACAGTACTTCACTAACTGACGACCTTTGAAAGAATCCTATTGTTAAAGTGTCAAACTAGTAAACCTTCATTTTTGTATTTTGATGAACTTCTGCTACAAGGAATTCACCTGAAAATTGTTGTCTTTCTTGGTGCAAAGTCATATATTATCTGTGATGTTTTATAAAGTATGAATTAAAATATACTAAAACTATGAACAGGGCTAAATAAGCAGCATGTGATATAGCATAGTTAGGAATATGAAAACAATGGGAAACGTATGTGTTCATGTTCTACCTGTTCCTCATCTTATTCCGGAACTATTGGATATGAGATCCTGATTATGGGCCTGATCTTGCAAGAAGATGATAGCCCTCAGAGGGCACTCATTACCTCACAGGATCAGTCGCTAAACTGGGATTATTAACTTTCTCTGAGTTAAGGGAATTTATATTTTTGGAATTTCAGCAAGAACTATGTAGGTAGGTTAATTCCAATTGGCAAATGCAGGTCAATTGTGCTCTTGAAAAATCAAGTAGAAAAATTATCTTTGTTATAATGTGACATCATGAAGAAGACGTTCAGATTTATGGTTGGGGTTATAACTGAAGACATCTTTGCATGTCTTGAACAAGTTCCAGTGCTTTTCAGACCATGTATCAAGGAAATCAAAATAGTTTGGGATTAGTTATGTCTGAATAACCCAACTTCCTTTCTTTAGTAGCAAAATGATGCTGAGTTTTAAATTACATTGTATCAAATGCTAACTATCTTTACTACAAGTTATGTAAAAATAGGAGGTTTTAAGACTGACTATGCAATTTGAAATCTATTGAATTCTTATGTATTTAGGAAATAGTTTCATGTTACCTCATTGGGATGGAGGAAAAAACTTTTTGGGTGTTTGTTTTGTTATATTTTAAATGTTAGAGCAGAACAGTGCTGTTTTGCAGCAAAGTATTTACTCATCACCCACAAAAATTGAATATTGGTTTTGAAGTAGGTTAGAGGACATTCCTAGCATATCCTGTTAGCGACAGTTACTTTTCCTATAGTCTTCCATAGGCAGTGACTACAAGCCATATGGGTTCTGTACAGCTGTACGGTTAATATGCACCGTGGCATTTGGGGCCAAATTGTGGTTGCTGCCCTGGACATTCTGAAGAGGAGACTGTGCTGTCTCCCTTAGCGTACCTGTGCATAAGGTAGCCATTATATGAATGCCAGACTTGGAAGTTGGGGGGAGAAGGTGGATAGCCAGCAAGGATAGAAACCTCATACCATGCATCAGCAGGGCTGCAGTAGATATTGGCTATTCCTGTTCTACAGGTGCAGCAAGGGATGTATTTCTACATGTTTATAGCACCCAAAAAGAGAGAGAGGGGGGAAAAAAAAGCCGCGATCACGATCTGCGGTACTTCGGCGGCAGCTCTACCGCCGCCGCTTCAGTCTTTGGCGGCTGGTCCTTCACTCCAAGAGGGAGTGAGGGACTCGCCGCCGAAGAGCCGGATGTGCCACCCCTCTCCGTTGGCCACCCCAAGCACCTGCTTGCTGGGCTGGTGCCTGGAGCCGGCCCTGAGCATATGATCTTGTTTCCCATTGTAAATTATACTACTTATTCTAAAACTGAGATTGGTAAAGTCATCTTTATTTTACTTAGTACAAATGTGAGAAATACTTTGCTCTTATGAGGAATATGATTGAGTCTGTATAATAGAAGATAAAAATGTAGGAAGATAGTGCCTTTTCTCCTTAATTCTGAAATTCAGAGTTTTTAAAATACTGTAATTTTGTATTGTCCCTCTAAAACATTTGGATTTGATATGGAGAGTATGATAGAACTAGTATTTAAAAGCCTGAGAGAAAGAAACCTTTGCTGTTGACAAACACTGTAGGGCAACCGAATGTTCTTAGCACATCTAATAAAGTAAGCATTTTCTATGTTGTTGATTCAAAATGTGTTTGTCTCATCTGTTGTTTGGATAAGCAGGTATGCAATTGATTTTACATCAGTGTTTATTAAAAGTATTAGCAAGCTATGCACTTTGCAAACTAAGATTTGATAATTGACATAGATTAAATAGAAAGCCTTCAATAAAAGGGGCCAAATACACCCTGGAGGTAGGAAGATGCAACTCCATTTATTTCAGTGGAGTTATTCCAGTTTACACCTAGGTTAAATTTGGCTAATTGTTTTTATGATAAACAGTCTTTTGCAGGGCTGCATATACCTCATGAGAGAATTACTGCATCATTGGTCTGCAGGACTGTCCCTACCAAACAGTTGTTTTATGAGTAAGGGAGAGTTGAGCTCAATCTGCCCTAGAACAGAGTGCCTGATCCAGCCATTGCAGTCAGTAGATGTCTTTCTCATTGAGGGAAAGGGAGCAAGTGCGCAAAGCATTTTCCCCTTCTTCAATCTCCCTCTGCTCTGTGGTGTGCAAAGAAGAATCCTTTGACAGTTCCCCATGCCTTGAGAAGTGTAAAAGAATATCTTTCTCTTTAGTGGTCCCCGCTCTGTCCTCCTTTCTCCATGTGATTTGAGAGTTGATTAGATGTTCGGATTTGTGGGGGAGGAGAGTGGTGAAGGCAAGCAAAGGTAGTAGTTTTGGAAGGAACAGAGACTGAAGGAGCAGGGAGAAAACTGAGGGGTAGTATTGAGATAGCATGTGGTGGGAAAGGAGGATGACACAAGGACAAGGTGAAAAGAAAGAGACTGGAAGAAACTGAGGGGAAAATAATGATAGAACTATTAGAAGGTGGAACAGTAACAAGGAAGATGGAAGAAGAAAGGAAAGGTGAAATGATAAAAATTGAAAAAGACAGAGGAAAAAAAAATCAGTAGAGAGAGAGAATGGAATAAAGGAAGGTAAAGAGAAAGAAGAACCGAGGTATGGTGTATATTCATTTTGATAATTTTATTGACAGCTGGATCCCAAAATGATTGAATAAATGTAAATATAAAATATTTTGTGTATACACAACTCATATTATAGATATAAAATCCACGAATAAATTCATGTGAGTGATCTCCTTGTCAAAGATGACTTATCTTGGGCTTGAATAATTTTGCCTTTGGAAGACATGATCTTGCATCTAGTGGCTTAAAAAAAAGTTTCTGAGAATAATCTCACCTGCACCTACCTTGGCAACAAAATGCACACAGAATTCTCACTCATAAGTTTTTATCTTCCACCACAAGACAGGCTGGAAACTCCTAGCTCGTAGCATTTTGCCCCTCTTAGGCACTGGTAGTTGAGTGCCTCACTTTTGTGCCTTTTTCAACTATCAATGCCCTTCTAGAGTCTTCATGCCGTTTTTTTGAGTACAGTCAGCAAAGACGCTCCTCACTTAAGCTGTATGTTGGTTTTGTTTCTTCTCTTCTGGTGTTTGCCGCT